ACAGACATATAGACCAATGGAACAGAACAGAGAACCCAGAAATCGACCAGAGCCATTATGCTCAATTAATATTTGACAAAGGAGGCAAGAGCATACAATGGAGTCCAGACAATCTCTTCAATAAATGGTGCTTGGAAATTTGGTCAGATACATGCAAAAAAAATGAAACTAGATCACCAACTTATACCATACACAAAAACTCAAAATGGCTAAAGGACTTACATGTAATACAGGAAACCATAAAAATCCTACAAGACTACATAGGCAGCAAAATATCAGACATATGTTCTAGCAATATCTTCACCGATACAGCTCCTAGACCTAGGACAATGGAGACTAAGGAGAAAATAAACAAATGGGCCTATATCAAAATAAAAAGCTTCTGCACAGCAAAATAAACCATCAACAAAACAACAAGAAAGCCCACTGCGTGGGAGAACATATTTCTCAATGGTATTTCAGATAAGGGCTTAATCTCCAAAATTTACAGACAACTCATACAACTTAACCAAAGGAAGATAAACAATCCAATCAAAAAATGGGCAAAGGACATAAATAGACACTTTTTAAAAGAGGACATACAGAAGGCCGAGAGCCATATGAAAACATGCTCAAAGTCACTAATCATCTGAGAGATGCAAATCAAAACAACAATGAGATATCATTTCAAACCTGTCAGAATGACTATCAACAACAAATCAACAAATGACAAGTGTTGGTGAGGATGTGGAGAAAAGAAACCCTCATGCACTGTTGGTGGGAATGCAGACTGGTGCAGCCACTGTGGAGAACAGTATAAAGTTTCCTCAAAAAGTTAAAACTGGAACTCCCATTTGACCCACTAATCCCACTTCTAGGACTATATCCCAAGACACCAGAAACACCCTGTGTTCATTGCAGCACAATTTACCATACCTAAGATTTGGAAACAGCCTAAGTGCCCATCAGCAGATGAGTGGATTAGAAAACTGTGGTACATCTACACAATGGAATACTACACAGCTATAAAAGAAGTTGAGACTCAAAGAGTATAGGTTAATAAAGTTTAGGTTATGTCACATTATAATATGAATTGAGTCTTAGAATAGACAAAGCACAATTTATTTATTTATTTATTTATTTATTTGGGGAGGGGGTGAACTTTCCTGACACAATTGTATAACATGACATCCTTTGCTTCATAGCTGATTTTAAGAATTTTTTTCAAAAAATCCTTGAGCTTCATCAGTTTTCCCAAAGGCCTTTCTTAATCTTTTGATGTTCAAATCACTCTTATTTGAAGCACTTACCTTGCATCACCTTTGCAGAGTTTTTCTTCAGTTTTAAGCTGGTCCTCCCTGGGCACAGCTCTGCCTATGACAAGAGCCATTCTCCAGCATTGTTTCTATGAAAACCCACCTACTTCATGAGATTGCAATTCCACTCTGTGCACATCTTCACCAGATGTTTACTTCTTAGGCAATCAGATAGTTAAACAAATATGACTTTGATGGGAGTCATGGCAAAAGAGACATGAACCTTTAATAGAAAGATGTTAGACTGGTCATGCATGGTGCATTATTGGCCTATTTTTCGTTTGTTTTGCTTCCCTAAGCTATGTAATTTGGGAGTTAGCATAAAAACTTTTGCCCATCTCTGTTTGAAATCTTGGGGTGGAGGGAGAGAAAGAAAGTGAGTAAAGAATTAGAATAATTTAAAGTATTTGCTTTTGCTTTCCCACGTCACCCCATTCAGGTCTTTTGCTCTTCCATATTTCTCCAGAATATCAGCTTCCTTCCTGCTTCAGTGTTAGCCACATTACTAACAAGGCCAAAATCTAGGTTAGATGAGCATTTTGGTCCAGAAGCACTGTCTTAAACTAAAACTGAATTCCTTTACATCTATAGGTTATATGCTATCTAGACTGTAACAATCTGTGGTAATGAGGTGGATCTATTAGTACTGATATGAAAAGATGTCCAAGATATAATAAGTAAAAAAAAATTGCAGAACTGTATCCATAATTTGAAAACATTTTGTTAGCTTATTTATATTTACCTATTTAGTAATTTATGGAACTGGATGTTAAAACTGAAGTTTCAACCAATTGTCCAGGGGTGAGAAATATCAGACACCAAATGGACATGGGCCACCCTGGAGAAATTTTCAAAGTAAACACTGCAAACTGGTTCTGGGATCCTCTTACCCATTTTGAGACTATAAGAAAGTGGAGAATAGAGGG